GGGAATGCCCTGACACAGGAATACGGTCACAGTGCCATTACCCAGCCAGGCTCCAAGAAGCTTGTAGAACACACAGTACTGGGATGCCCTTGGGTACTCACCATCTGTGGGTATGGGTGCTGCCCGGGAATCTGTGTGTTCAGGTGGCTCCAATGGCTCCCTCATTGAAGATCACCAGGTAGAAAAGACCATGAGCCTGAGGCTCAAAAGTGCCAGGCACCCTGACTCTTAGTCCATTCCCCGCAGATCCTCACCTATCCAGCCAATGGCCTTTGCACACCTGACCAGGGACCACAGGGTGGTTCTCCTGGGGATGCTTTGCACCTGGATGGTATGCTCTCCCTCTGTGACCTGCCCAGGAAGCAGGTCCAGCCTCTGAGCCTGGCTGTGATAGCACACAGTAACTTTTTTTTTTTTTTTTTTTGGTCTTTATGAGATCTCCCTGTAGCCCCAGCTGTCCTGGAACTCACTATGTAGACCAGGCTGGCCTTGAACTTACAGAGATCCGCCTGCCTCTGCCTCCCAAGTGCTGGGATTAAAGGTGTGTACCACCAAGCCCGGCAATTGGCCTATTTTCTAGAAGAAAGATTCTCAGTGATTTGCCCTGGTCACCAAACTGGGAACACCAGGGCTGGGATTCAAACCTGGGCCACCTGGCTCCTGAGCCCAAGCTCTGGGCACCAAGTTGCTCTACCTTAGGGTCTGCCGAGCCTCATCACAGCCTGGGGAAGAAGGCTGGGGCCAAAGCAGAAGGAAGGACTCTGGCATTGGAGGAGACACAAGGGCAAGCCTGACCAGTGAGTACCTGGGCCCCATGAACAGGCCTGGCAAGACACACTCAGGATCCACTGAGTCAGACTGGAAGGCTGAACAAGTGTCTGCAAGTCCAGGGAAACAGCCACTCTGATGAGAGGACTCCATCTTCACCTCTTGACCTCATCTTTTTAGTATCCCATGGGGGCTTTAAAGAGCTGAATTATTCCTTTGCCAGAAACATCTGAATTCTTCTATGCAAACTCCTCCACCCAGAGTCATGAGGGACACTGGCAAAATAAAGTCTCTGACAAGTCCCACAGAGAAGCCTGTTTGGTTTATCCAGCTAGCGTGCCACGTACTTAACTGACCGTGAACTCCTCCATTCATGCGGCACTTTGTGGCACTTCAGGGAGCATGGACTGGGAAAGGCTGGTAGGGAGCCAATGTCAGACTTTCTGAAAACAGCAAATATGGCCTGCTTGGCAGGTCATCAGATGTCTGTCACAAATATTCAGCCCTGCACCTAGAGCTGAAAAGCACTTCTAGACCATGGGGACAGATGGGTGTGGTTGGTGCTGCCAGACACAGTTAGGAACAAAAAAAAAAAAATGTGAATTTCAAATCATCTCACATGCCAACCAGAGTTTTCTTCTGATTTGTTTGCAATCATTTAAAAACATGAAGACTTAGACTCGGGGTAAAGTGGGTAAAGGGTTTGCTGAGCAAGCACAAGGACACAGGTTTAGATCTCCATCATCCCCGACACAGACGAGGAGCTCCTGCACTTTCTAGAATGCCTTTTAGGTCTCAGGGGCAGGGACAGGTGTTAAAGAACAGGGAGAAGGAGGAAGGGGCCCTGCGGTACCCAGGGAACAGTCTGGAAAGCAGAGAGTGACAGAGTGATCCCAAACATTGCGGCCTCCACACAGCCTTGAGCTTAGGTGTGCTTTCTGAAGCTCAGACAGAAGGGATGTCCCAGATGGGGGAAGTAGGGTTGAGAAGATGGAGATGGTCCATCTCTACATCCTGCTACCACAGCCCTGGGTTGAAAGAAGAAAGAAAGAAAGAAAGAAAGAAAGAAAGAAAGAAAGAAAGAAAGAAAGAAAGAAAGAAGGAATGAAAGAAAGAAAGAGAAAGAAGGAAGGAAGGAAGGGAGAGAGAGAGAGAAGGAAGGAAGGAAAGAAAGAAAGAAAGAAAGAAAGAAAGAAAGAAAGAAAGAAAGAAAGAAAGAAAGAAAGAAAGAAAGAAAGGGATGCCTAAGCCAGATTGACCTTGAGGTATTCCCAAGGTTCTGGTCAGAACCTCCCCTCCCCCCAGTTCCAGGAAAGAGGCAAAGCCCAGAAGCTATGAGGGAAAGGTGATGGTTGAGCTATAGTCTGAACCCATGCATCAAAATCCGAACGAAGTGAAAAGAAAATAATCAAAAGAAAAGTAAAACCTGGAAGGGTATTAGCAAATCAAATTGCTAAGAACCAGAATTGGGACAGAAAATGACCCCTGCCATCTGAACAATGGGCAGAGGGTATGCAGAGACCGCAGGCTGTGGCGGCAGCTCTGCCAGCGAGGGGCACTCATAAGCATGAGGGCCAGAGTGTGAACTCCAAGGATGCACATTAAAAAAAAAAAAAAAATGGGCGTGGTGGTGCACGCCTTTAATCCCAGCACTCAGGAGGCAGAGGCAGGTGGATCTCTGTGAGTTCGAGGCCAACCTGGTCTACATAGTGAGGTCAAGGTCAGCTGGGGCTACAGGGAGACCCTGTCTCACAAAGACAAAAAAAAAAAAAAAAAAAAAGAGAGAGAGAGAGAGACAGGGGAGGAGAGGCAGGCTGGCTCAGCAGGTGAAGGCGCTTGCTGCCAGTGCCACAGCCAGGTGTGATGGTGCCTGCTTGCTGTCCCAACACTGGGGAGGTGGAGACAGGTGGATCCCTGGGGCCTGTTGGCCAGAAAGCCTAGAATACTGCGTGAGTTCCAGGCCAGTGAGAGACCTTGTCTCCAAAAACAAGGTGAAACACCTGAAGAATGACACCTGAGGTTGACCTCTGGGGCCCATGTACAGTCATACACATATGCAACCCATACATACGCACACCCTCACGCACATGTACACCCACACACGTACATGCACACAGCTGCACATGTACACCCACACACGTACATGCACACACCTGCACATGTACACTAACACATATGTACATGTCTGTGCATATGCACACATGCACATAATGTAGACCCATATACACTTATGTTCACACACATGTACACCTGCATGCATGTGGACACACAACACAAAGAGGAGGCAAAGATTACAAAGGATGCCTGTGGGAAAGGTCACACATTACTCAGGAGGAGAGAAGCACAGTTCAGCAAGAGATACCACTGTCCTCTCTTGGGTTGTAAGGAGGGTCAGGTGTAGAGTGTGATCAGGTGGGCAAGGGGCAGCAGCACCTACCACACCTCTGGGGGGTGAAGACTGCAGATGGGGACCACAAGTACCATAGGCCAGATCAAATCCCGGCACTGAAGTCATTGGAGCTGAAGTCCCTCAGCTGAAAGGGACCTGAGAGCTGGGTTCCTCACTGCAGCCCTGCCTGCCTGAGCCACAGAGTAGAGAATACCAGGTGTCTAGCCCGCAAGCTGATAATAACAGTAAGAGCTTATTCAAGTCATGGCTAAGTCCTAACCACTCACAACATGGACCAGGGGCTAGTGGGTTGGGCATGCCCTGGGGGCTGTTTGGAGAAAAAACGCTCCCCTGTGCCCCAAACCTATTCAATCAGAGCCTACATTTTGACAAGATGCCGGGAGAATTCCTCTGCATGCTGAGGTGCTATTTTAAAATTTTTACATTTATTTGTTTATGTGTGAGGGGCACACACATCAAAGTGTGGAGTTTGGAGGGAAACTTTGAAGAGCTGGTTCTCTCCTTCAACCATGTGGATCCTGTGGAGGTTTAGAAGCGAACAAGCACATTCACCCATTGAGCCATCTTAATGGCCCACTGAGGCACAATTTAAAATCTTAACTCATGGAATCTTCTAACATCCCCATGGCCAGCACTCCCTTACCACCTGCATGTTGGAGAAGAGAGGCCAAAGTTCTGACAAGTGAAATTGTCCAAAGTCAGAGTGAGAGAAAGGTGGAGCTACAGACACTACATGGCCATAAAACAGACCTTTAAATGAACCAGAAAGGTCTTTGATGGCAGAGGAGACAATCTCCAAGGTAAGTTGTCACCCGAACAATGAATAGATCCTATCATCATTTGTGGGAGAAGCAAAACAGACCATCAAAATCTACGCATACCGCTTCAACACCCAGAGAGCCTCTCTGAAAAGGTACCGGACAACAGTAGGCAGGAGTTACCTCCGGAAAGTGGAACTCAGAATCTGGGGGAGGGAAATAGGAGGGAAACTGTTTACTGCCACACATTTCCATCATGTTGACTATGGAAACATGGGCATGCATTTCCTATTCCAAATAAAAGAGAAACAATGTGGGGTGTTTGCATTCTTTAAAAGCAGTGGAAGGAGAAGTTACAGATCTACAAAGTGTCCTAATTTAATTAGAGACATACTTTAAGAGGACACATTGGAACAGCCCACCCCCAGCTCCCACTTGCCTTCCTGTCTGCCCATCTCAAAGGAGGCAGATGTGTCAGGGAAGGCCTGTTAACAATGAATTTATCCAGGAATTTGAGGCTCAGAACCATTATGTGGAGGGGGTAATGTGTTGACCAGTGAGTTCAGTGGTTCAGTTGCATCCCATAGAGTATCTGGCAATGTCTGAAGACATTTTGGGATGGTGCTACTGGTATGTAGTGGTTAAGAGATCAGGGATGACAACAACTTGCTCCAATGGTCAAGATGCCAGGCGTCAGGAGCTGAAAGGCTGCGCCAGCACATCTCATACCCCATGTGAACTATGTCAGCGGAGGGCTGCATCCCTATGCAGTTGTGATACAGCATGTCTGGGAAGATCCGTGATTCTACAGGTCTAACCTGCGAATTGTACCCTGCTGATGCAACACAGCTTTGAGAAGTGAGGCCATCCCTGGTCCAGCTGTGGGCAACTCCCAATTTTGTGAAAGGGACTTTGGCTTCAGATCAGAAGGTAGGATTATTAAGGCCTGGTTGAACTGAGGGTCAGGGACACTGGCTCAGGTAGAAATAAGCATGTGCCCTCTTGAGCCCCTCTTAAGACTCAGGAGGCTCTGGGACTAGAGGCGGCAGTGGCCGGGGACTCACCGTCCAGAGTCTCCACTGAGAGTTGCAGGCCCAGGTTGTGCAGAGGGTTGACCACCCAGTGGTTGCTGGTGGCTGTGATGTCAAACACCAGCCAGCCCTCCTCAGAGGCCCAGAGGGTGCGGCTGTCAAGCAGGAAGAGATCCGACTCCCTGGAGAGAGGACAGAGACACAGATTTCAGGTTAGGTGGGTCACAACTCAGACAACAGTTTATCAGATAGGAGAAGTCCTGTGTAATGGGGCAAGCAGGAGGGTGCCCACTAGTCCCTCACATGTGGGTTTGTCAGACCCAGACAAAGGCCTCTTAGTAGCTGTGATGGGGAAGACGGTGTAGACGAAATATAGTTACACACGGGGAACAAGGGGTAACCTCCCCCACCAACGGCAGCAGCACAGTCATCAGGAATTACACAGCCTCAAGTTGCTGGGGCAGAAGGTGATGCTGACTAGGTTGTTCACTATGTGCCTGGGCCATGCCAAGGGCTCCACACACATCATCTCAATTAATCCCCATGGCTGTGGCAATAATAGCAACACTCAATATATGGTGAACCAGGACCTGCCCACAGTCATTTATTCAGTAAGCTTCCAGGCTGGGGTTTGAGCCCAAGCAACTAAGCACCAGGACAGACACTCTTGACCCCCCACACCACAAGGCTTTATCAGCCCACCATGTCAGGACCTAGGTGTCCTTCAGTTCTTGTTTCTTCACGTTTTGCAGTAGCAAACAATTCATCCTATGAGAAGTTGGAAGATGACTGGCTGGCTGGGTGACTGGCTGAGAGTTGGAGAGATGGATGGCTTGAGGGCTAGAAGATGGATTGAGTGTGAAAATGGATAGGAGGGTGGATGCATGGATAGATGAAAGATGGATAGACTGATGGATAGAGGGTGGATGAATGAATGCATAGATAGGTAGATGGATGGATAAGGTGGACAGGTAGATGGATAGGTCGACAGGATGGATGGATATATGGGTGAGTGGGTTGGTAGGTGGATGGCTGGATGGGTGGGTAGATGAACAGATGCTTGTATGGATGGATAAATGGGTGTACAGATGAACAGATGGACCAATGGGTGGATAGACAATAGATAGACAATGGAATAGATAGATGATGGATAGATGATAGATGATGGATAGATACATGATGGATAGATGAACAGATGATAGATGATGAGTAGATAGATGATGGATGGATGGTAGATGATGGATAGACAGACAGATAGATGAACTGATGGATAGATGATAGATGGATGGGTAACGGATGGCTGGATAGATGGATGGAGGAAAGAGATGCATGGATAGGTGGATAGAGGACAAATGGATAGATGGGTGAATAGAAGGATAGATAGGTGAGTAGAAAAAGGATGGATGGAGAGATAGATAAGATAGAGAGATGGCTGGATTGGTGGATAGGGAATTGATGGATGTGTAGGTTGTGGAGGACAGATGGGTGGATGGGTAGATGATTTCCACCCCACACTTGCTGTCATATGTAAGGTCTTCATAATAGCTCTTGTGAATTTTTAGTTATAAAGACTCAGTTCTATACTTTGAGCTCTCAGTGGCCAATTAAAATACTAATCCCTATGCTGATCCTGGGGTATAGTGATGAACACCAACAGCCTGTTCCCTTCCCTGGGGCCCTGACAGCCTCCATCAGCCCTGGAGTTACTTTCTTTTCTGAGATTAGGGTGAAATTCCATTGCTTACACACAAAGGTATCAGATGTGACAACTGGTCATAGAGCACCTATTATGGGCTATGCTCTGGGATGGAAAGCCTGACTAGCATCCTGTCACTGTGTTCTTGCAACAACCCTATGAGTTGTGGACTCCTGCCCACACCACTGGGTAGATCCAAGACTGAGGCTCAGAAAGGTGGAGTTCTATGCCCAGGGTTACAGGGCTGGGACAGCGTCCAGCTAGTAGAACCCAACTATGCTCCCTGCAAGCTCAAGCTTGCAGCCACTAATGACGCCAAGTCTCCTGAATGTGACCTTTGCTCTGATCTCAGAGCCTCTGACAGATCAAACTTGTTGCCATGTGCTCCATAAACTAGCATCCAGGCCCAACACCAGATGCCACTCTGGAAAAGGCAGTCTCTAGTGGGTCCCAGCACCCTCCTCCTATAAACTCCTGCCGACCACCTCCATTCACCACTCCATAGCGTGTATCTCAGAGATCTCCATGTCTGCGAGAACAACACCCTGCTGGGGGCTCTATGCATTAGATAGCCACAAGGCCCACCAGCATGCACAGCCCAGGATAAACCTGTAACACAATATAGGTGTGTGTTCTTAAGTGATCTTTGCTCAGAACCCACTAGCATTGGGTTGGGAGACCAACAGTCACGTACAAGGCCACACAGGGACAGGAACCAGGCTCAGAGAGCAAGTGTGAGGAGACAGGCTGTCCCATTCACTCAAAGTCATTGAAGGGATGGGCTGAGCTGATTCTCTCTCTTCACATCTCTCCAGACAAAAGTCTGAGCAGAGAACCTAGGTGGACCAGGCAAGTCACACGCCCAGGCTTCGGAGTGGTGGGTGGGGCACTGCAAACATGGACAGCATTACCAGGACTGTGAGATAGATGTCCCCACATATGCACCCCAAAGCCTGATCTAGAATTCATTGCTCTGGCCTGAATGGCATGTCCCTTCCCGAATGCATGGTGAAATTTGGTCCATATTGTGACAGTATTAAGTATTAGTTACTTTTCCGTGGCTGTGATAGAAACACTGACCAAAGCAATTTATAGAAGGAAGAGTTTATTTGAGCTTACGGTTCCAGGGGAATTACAGTCTGTCATGGCGGGGTGCCGTGGCTGGAGAAAGCAGAGAGCTAACATCTTCAAGCAGGCATGGGAAGCAAGAGAGCGACTGGAGCTTAAGAACTCTCTAAGCCCACCCCCATGACGTGCTTCCTCCAGCATGGCCACACTTTCTAAGACCTCCCAAAACAGCGCCACCAACTGGGGACAAAAGTGTCCAAATAGTTGGAGCCTATGGGGGACATTCTCATTCAAACCATCACAGGTGGTAATTTTCCCAGGTGGTTAGGCCTTAGAAGCTACCTTTGTGAATGGACTAGCCCTTGGGGGAGGCTTGGAGGGAGGGTGTTTACCCCTTTCACCATGTGAGGACACTGACCCTGCCAACATCTTGACCTTGGACCTCTAGAGCCTCCAAACCCATGAACATGAATTTCTGTTCTTTTAAGAATATTTTATTATTTTTATTTTATATGCCATGAGTGTTTTGCCTATATGTATATAAGTGCACCATGTGTGTACAATGCCTGCAAAGGCCTAGAGAGAGTTTGGAATACCCTGGAATTGGTGGAGTTTTAGACAGTTATTAGCCACTGTGTGGGTGCTGGGAATCAAACCCGGGTCCTCTGGAAGAACAGCAAGTGCTCTTAACCACTGAGCCATCTTTCCAGCCCTGTTCTTTTTAAATTACAGTCTTGAACAATTCATTACAGCAGCAGAAAGAGACTAAGATGGTTATGCCATGTGTTTGTGTGTGTGTGTGTGTGTGTGTGTGTGTGTGTGTGTGATGCTATGACTTCTGATCTTAACCAGTAAAACAGCTACCAGACAAGAGAGCGCGTGGTCTCCTAGAGGGCTAGACGAAAGTCCCTCAGAGTCTTCAAGAGACTCAATGCCTTCAGTAACAGGTCACAGAGGCAGGGAAGTCATGTTAGAATCAACAGGGTTTTAAAGGCCCTAAGTGTGACTTTCACATCCAAGTTGAATGAAAATAAGTTAGTCTTTAGGACCCACTTACTTCTCCGACTTCTGAGGCCCCTGTCAAGGCAGTTTTAGAGCTCCTTTGGGGGACATGCACATGACTTTCAAGCCCACAGACAGGAAGATCTGACTGTCTTCACCTCCAATTTCCCTGGTTTCCCTGGCTCAGAGAATTCCCAGGACCACCACTGAAGCCGCCAGCTGACCTAACAGTCAACAGATGGAGTCAAAATGTAATATCTGATCTGTAGCACAGAAGTCAGAGGAAACCTGGGTGGCGATGCTATCAGCAAAGCACATATGCAGAAATACGTAAGCAGACATCTCTGCACAGGTCCTCATGTATAGTGAACGATGCTTGTGACCAGGTGATGGAGTGGGCCTTTACACAGGGCCGCCCTGTCCATGGATGCTAAACCTTCTTTCATTACCAGCTGGGACCCAGAGGCCAGATGTGACAGGTCAGCGATGACTCATCTCTGGATCACTGGGAAGGCGGCCACTCCCCACCCCTAGCCACTGTTTGCAGTTTGTCCCAGGCACCTGTGGAAGCACCACACCTTTGGGTGAGGGGGGGGGGGAGACACCTCACAGGCCAGGCAAGTGACGGGATCACAGAGAAAGAGGAACGGGCACACAGCAGCATATTCCTGCCTGAGCTGGGAAAGCAGGTTCCTGGTCATCACCTGGAACCTTGCAGGAGCACGCTGGTCCTACCACTGGGAGGGCTGTGAATAGGTCTTCTGTGACATTCTTATTTACCTTGAGCACAATGGTCTGCCTGCCCAGCCCAGGTGAGGGCAGAGTCAGAGAAGGAGCAGGCAGAGGGCCCCAGAAAACAGACGGGCATTCTTTTACCTTCGCCACTCCTGAAGCCAGGGTGCTTTCCAAGCCTGGCTCTCTGCACTTCCCTGCAGACCTCTGTCCATGGAGGCCACACCTATAATCCCAGCAGAAGCAAGAGGATTGCTGTGAGTTTGAGGCCAGCTTGATCTACAGAGTTCCAGGCGAACAGATACAAGTGGGTAAGGGGACAAGCAGTGAGGTAGAGTCACTGGCCAGGGACAGGCCTTAAACATAAAAGAACCAGGCTGTGACACAGGAATTCTGATTCAAGAACGTCTGTCCCTAAGTCCCGCTTCCCCATCCCCTCAGTTCACTATCTTATCCGGGAATGGGCAGATGTAGGAGCTGGTAGGTTTTACGTGATGTCTGCTTTCTTCCTGGCACTGTGCGAGGCGGAGCAGCATGAGAGGGGGGTGGGATCCAGGAAGGCATGGGAATGGAGAAGGCAAGGCAGATGATCTTGGGCCTTGGTGGGATCTTAGACAGCAATGGGCGAGAGCTGAGTGAAGGCAAGGCATACACTTCTAATGTACACACTGCACCCATTACGGG